TAGTGTTGTCTGTAATTTCTGATAATTGCGCACCTTGGGGTAGCAGCTACTCTGTCAGCATGAAGATTACACTTCAAAACACTTTTAAGAAAAAAATAAAAGCACGTCATCTTTCAAAATGTTTGGCATTTACTAATGCTGTCAACAAACTGCAATATTTCTAGAATACAGACAACTGGCTTTGTGAGAAAGAAAAAAAAAGGGGGATTAAATTGAGGTGAAAGCATTTGAGTTGTATCTAATAAGACAAGTACTTTAGCCCTCAGCAGCACCGGTGCACAGAACATTTTTGGGCTCGTTTCCATGAGGTGCATTAGCTGTCCCTGCACTTTTAGTTTAGAGGAAACCTGCCCTAGTTTTTTTCCTCCACGCTGTGCAACAGTTCCTGCTCCCGCAACGGCGYCCGAATCCTGAGATCCCCGCAGCACGTGCTCATCAAAATGTCACTGTGCCCGCGGCTCTGCCAGGATAATGTGCCTGCCTGAGGAGCTGCAAATCATGATACATGGCCCCGGGACATGTAATGTTCTGCAAAGTGCTTCTCCCTTCCCAATAAACTCTGGGCTATGTGCAAGGCAAGAAATGTGAATTTGTAATGAGAGCTGCACAGTCAAAACATAAAAAAGAAAACTGCAACAGAGCAGCCTGTCATTTCATTAACTAAAAAAAAAGATGACATTTAAATTTCTATTCATCTTCCTTTATTCACCTTAGACGAAATTCATCCTGCCAACAAGCTGCCGTATCTGCTCTGCTTCACTTCTCATACGCCGGGCTGCGCGGTGCTAAAGGTGTTGAGACAAACAAAAACGGCTGTCAGAGCTGCTCCAGGGCCTCAACTCAGCCCATCTGAGCCGAACTCAACGTTTATCAGCAGCCGGTCGGCAGAAAGCGCCACCCACTGAGGCAGAAATGACTGGATTTACTGTGCAAAGGCAGACACACAAACAGACGGAATAATGTGGCAGAAAACCTCCCATCTATTGGCAGCTCACTAAAACTAATGAGAAATTAGASTTATAGTCATTTAGGCCAGTCCTGAACACATAAAGCGTAATATTGTGCAATTCCATCTTAAACTGAACTGACTCCAAAACCAAAAGGTGTATAGTAACAAAGTATATTTACTTCTTTACGATATATAGGTATATTTTGAGAATCTGTAGAGAAGATAAAAAGGATAATTTTTACTTCTTTTCTTTAAAAGTAAACACCTCGTTACAAATTTAAACATGACCAGAACTCTACATAAAAAGAATGATTTATGCACTTGAAGAAATTTATTGGGGTTAGGTTATATACTGATTTTAATTACATTACACATGGTATAGTCTGATGATTAGACGAACTGTAATAATTGTTAAATGTGACAGTTTTTCTTAAATTGATGATTTTATATAGGTAGATACATGCCTGAACACAAATTCAACACATAACTAATTGTTGATCGTCAGAGTAGATAATTATTTCTGTTTGGAGGCGTGACTCTTTGAGAGTAMAGGCCCCCTTCCTGATGARGTAATGAAATGGGRGGGGTCATGCCTCAAAGCGCTCTGTTAGAAACTGTCTTCCAGATAGAGATGTTTGATACTGCCAATTTTCTTTCCGATACTAATGCCAAGTAAAATTTGGCTGGTATCGGCGATACTGATACTTTGTGATAACACATATGTGTCTGCTAAACCTTTTTTTTCAAATAACCGCTTTATAAATAATACGTGACATAGTAATTTATTTAAAAGTTTTTCTAACCCTAACCTTATATTTGTTTAGCTAGCACAATTTTAAATTCTTATTTTAAAGAAATATAATAAATCTTGAATAGTGAATAAAACATATTCTATATGTTGTTACTTTGTATATTTTGCAGCATTGTTTGTGGGTGTGCAAGAGTGTCCCTGGCCAGAGCTAATGCTGTTTGGGGGACAATGGCATGAAAAAGTTTGAGAACCCCTCATCTAGCATTTAATTACAGACTGTCAGACGAAGCAGATTTTATGTTAAAATGACCTGCCATACCCCTACAGACTGAGTGACTGACAGAGCATGTGCCACTGTGCTTATGCATACCCAAGCAGAAGAAAAAGTAGTTCCCTCCAACCACATATGATTTAGACAAGATTGGACTAGTTTAGTTATTTTCCACTATTTTCCTGTTAATGATATACATTATGTGAGATAACTAAAGTATCTATATTTTGATTTTAGTATCGATTCTAGAACATAAAGTTCTGGTATCAGTAGTATCGATATTTCAGTATCAATCTGCATATCACTACTTCCAGACTTTCGTCTCTGATGCTTTGTCAATAAATGGGCCTTCAGACAGAGCAGCTCTGGTTTTGAATGATGTCTTTATTATTATACTTTTTCCATGCATTTGGTACATTCTCCACATGGTTCAAGCACACAAACTGGTGAACGAACACGCGTAACAATATTTTTCTTTCACACTCTAAAAAAATAAGTTTTGAATTTACTAACTTACTAATTACTTAATTAACTAACTTAGTTAACTAACCTTAATTAATTACTAATTTACTAACCCTAACCGAGTTACTGCATGTCAACTGGTTCCAGTAAACCAGGACTGTTCAACTAAATTGCTTCGGGGGGCTGCAGTTATTTAAAGCCAACAGCTCGAGGGCCGTTGCCCATTAATGGTAGGTTGCAGCCTGTAACAAAACAAATATTATCTTTTTCCTTTTCGACTTATTTTGTTG